AACCTAGTCGATGGTTCATCAACATATGTAATCAATGTCCTGTTTTCCCAAGAATATATCGCGTTTTATCTCGCTCTTGACAGCTACCCACGTTCGCTCACTTGAACAGGATTGAGGCTAATAAGACGGAACATGGTATATCGATATCCTCAAAATGATATACTCAGCGGGATCCTCGGTCGTATGAATATTTGCATTGTTCAATACTGATATTCGTTAATGTGTTTAAATTTGTCGATCTAGTTCACCAGAGACGTAAGGGAACTGAGTTATAGTCCACTGTTTGCAAATTTGGGTTGACCTACTCGCTTTATTTCTTGGCTGATATCTACGAGCGTTGCACGCCACGTTAAATGATGACTGATGTCAAGATAACTCCACTCGTTTTTCATAAACGGATGAAATATTGTTTTAGATACTTCAACGTCCTCAGACATCATTATTAGTTGCTCCGCAAATGGTCCTAGGTAATGGATGAATTCTCAGCAACGTACTCTAGAATAACGAAATCATGCCAGAGTCCTTTTATACTGTAATATTCAAGCATCAGCTTGAAAAGTCTGGCTATAGACACTTACAGCTACGCTTTTATTCATATAATATCTGAGTCTTGCATAGCAACAAGTTCTTTGTTACCGTTATAAGCCAGGTTACGGAGATATTCTGTGTAGTTGCTCATCAACGACATAATCTATAAACTCAAGGTACCCACGGTCCTCAGTAACATGTCTTTGCCCATCTTCGTAAAGAAATCAAATGGAGGATCGGCAGGTCCGAAAAGGGTTGCTATTTTTTCTTTCATCGAAGTACATCTGGCACGGGAAGATTATGTATGCAAGGCCACTTGACGAAAGCCACTTTTCATGCACACGATGTGTGTGCAACCGTACATTGTTGGAAACCACATGGTGACACCGTAAAGTGTAGTGAAACAAGGCGCCTCTCTTGTTTGCGCCAAACGCATTAAATAGATAGGATCAGCTTCTTTTGCATTATGACGTTTCTTTTTCTTCCCCCTTACCCTTACGATGGACTCTACCGAAAAGAGAAATCAGTGGATACAGAACTGGGTTTCGTTCTTAAAACAACCTCGATATCGCAATAAGACGAATCGTCATTCCTTTTCCACATCCTCTCTCCATGACACATTAACACATTCATTAGCTGAGCGCCGATCTTCTCAGCAAACAACCGCGACCACGGCGACCACAACCAACTCTGCTCTTTCGGACGATGATAGGGTCACAGCTCCGCCTTCTGAACATATGCAAGAGACTGAGGAACGTTTTCGACTGAGAGGTTTATGGAAAAAGTCACGACGAAACAAATCAAGGAACAATCCGCAATTCCCTTTAATCAGCCAAATGAGTGGACAGCAGCATTCCAACAATCTTTATGACCGCAAAGAATCTTTTAGTGGTCCTTCACAGTTCTCTTATGAGGAAACCATGATACGACACCAGAAAAGTTGCCAAGAACTCCACAAGAAACGCCTCTCCGTCACGTCACTCAGATCAGGTGATCTTAGCCCTGACACGTCGCGGCCCGCTTCTCTTTTCTATTCCCGACCTATATCGCCTGCATTAACAAAGGACAATAACGATGACGACAGCGACGCGTGCATATCAGACGATCACAAACACAACCTGCCGCTAGACCGATGGGACATAAAGCCTGAGCTTGTGCAATTGGCAATGGACAATAGCCTTTTTTGCAGCCCTTTCGATATTTCCCCTTCCGCAAGTGCATCCGAAAAGCATGTACTCCAAGTTGGGTAAGCGGGTTTCGGGTATACGTGACAGCTATGCGTCCTGACTAAATTTCTGAAGTTGCGGGGATGGCTTTTGGGGAGCCCGTGTGGCTATGGAATACCCAAAATGGACTGTCGTCGCTGTGGACGATCGTCCATCGTTTGACAAACATTATAGACCGCCACGAAAGAATCTGAAGCTTCTCCGAAACCCTGATGTGTCGCTACTTACAAACCTCCGGCGCATGCCCGACCACAGCTACGATTTGGTCCATTGTCGATTCCTGATCCTTTCTCTGACCGCAAGCGACTATCAAAGTCTCTTACAGCAATGCTGGCGCGTTTGCAAGCCGGATGGTTACATTGAAATTTTGGAGATGGATATGTCTGTCTATTATTCTCGGCCGAGCTCCGGTACTATCATGCAAACATTTAATTCAGAGGGTACTTTAAGTTTTATTCACACGCGCATTTTCGGACAATACAAGCTCACACATGTACACCGTTTTGCGTTAGCCATTAATGTGATGGAGTCAAGATCTTTAGATCCAAAACTTGCAAGACAGCTTGACACAATGGTCACCAAGCTGGCAGAGGCTGGTGACGATTTCCAAGTTCTTTATCATGGCAACTACGCATCGTTTCCCCTGGGTATATGGGGTGGCCGCATCGGGGTCATGTTCCGCGATGATTTTCGTGGTCTCTTTGAGAGATTCCACCCAGTGATTGCAGAAGAGAACCAGGTTGAGCCATATACAGATCGCGAATTGGAATCAGTGCTCGAGCTGTTGGATGCAGAAATGGACCTTCATCGGGCTTATATGAATCTTCATTATACTTATGTTCAGAAAGTCTACTGTAAATAGCATGATACACGCTCACCATTAACCGCCAGTTTACTCCTGTCCCTCCCCCTAAAAAAAGTAGCCATTTAGCCCTGTGCTCCTCTAATGAAACCAAAGCCGTAAATAATTCTCCATAGTAGAAACACCGACGTATGAGTTCCCTTCTGATCAATCTTGCAACAATATTTATGAGATCACAGCTTTGTACAGACTCGGACGAAAAATGCAGACACTCTGATGAAAAGAAACTGGATTCCTGCGAAGCTGCACAAGCTAATATTTGAGAAAGCTTGAGTGCATCAACCGGTCTTGTCAAATCTCAAGCGGAGATTGACATGGACTGCTCTTCTCTTGCCAGCCATAATAAACAACCATAGACAGCTCTTACCTGACTAATCCCCTCACTCACCAAAATCCAACAAGTAAGAGCGTGAAATGGGATCATACTACTTCTCATGAGATTTTTTCTTATTGAATTTTTTTCCTAGCCATGCTTCGCTCCCTTAATCTCCTCGCCAAACGATCTTACTCTACGAGCACCTCACCTTACTTTGTTGCACGTACCTCAAACAACGGTCTTCCTGTATATACCGATTTCAAAAATGGCGGAACCCAACATTTAACGATTATTCGTCGCATTGAAGGTGACGCGGAGGCGTTAAAGAACGACATTGTTTCCCTATTTCCCGATGCCCCTAAGAACTTTGCGCGCGTCAATCCTGTCAATAACCATGTTATCCTCAAGGGCATCCACATGAATGAAATTAAGCAATGGCTGATCGAGAAGGGTTTTTAAAGATACTTCTTGGTTCTTTTCCTCCTTCGTTTTCTCTTTTACTCCTCACCATCATATTTTCCTGTGCCATGTAAATACATACTCTTTTAGCTTTGCACCAAACGTTCAAAAAGAAGGTATAATTGATAAAAGTTTGGGATTTGACTGCAAAAGATGTCTGGGCGGTACAATTCCAGCCAAAGTCAAGAGAGTAAGTAACTCGGTGGCAGGACAAGAAAGCATGTTAGCCACTAAGAAAGTGTATTCTGATTCCTTGCGAGCCTTTATACATAACTCTGCCCGAGTCTATCCTGACAGACAACCTTTCTTATTTCATCCTTGCGAACATTACCGTACATTGAAGCAGGCTGCATCGAGCCTATGTCTTTAACCCAAATTATTTCAATTGTAGTTAACACAGTTGGTGTATTTTGATGTGTGGTTTCGTTTAAATGGAATACTTGTCTTTAGTTTAACCCACGCTGGACAGCAGTATTGTAATAGAGGAGACAGTGATAACAGAGCGGTCTGATCGATGCAGTCATGTTACATTGGATTGCCAATAATGGTGATGATATGCCATGTGCTGCAGGTACCCAAAGCATAAAAAGGTTGGGCAGATTAAACGTTTGGGATATACCAAAAGCGTAGGTGTGTTATTCAACGGTCATCTGGGCCATTGTTAAAGCAATTAGGCTATAGTAAAGTAAGCAAGACCATGGCCTCTCCTGTATCCAGAAACTGGATAATGGGCTGTTCGGTGGAAATGAAGTGGTTTCCCAGACTTACCAGGGCACTGGACATGACGATGTTGTTCTCAAAAGCGCCTATAGTGGAGCGCTTCTTTCATACATGTATCTGGTAAGTACCATCACGAAGAGGGTGTGGTTGAGGAAGTAGTATCGACAACAGCTGCATCCACAATGGGCTCCACGACTGTACATGGCCAAGAACACCATCAGAATACAGATATAGCTGGCTCAAAAGCTCGTGTATAGGACCGATTGTTTGTCAGGAGCACTGATTTTTGGAGCAATTAGAGCCTACAACCTGTTATACTCTCCTCAGATCCGTGTGATCTTCGGAATATAGGAAGCAAGTGATTCGCTTTTTTGTGAAGGTGACAGGGGAAAGCCCAGTAGCAGATTTAGCAAACCCAGCTGATTAGAGGCGTCAGGAACTTTTGCCCTTGGTGATTGGGTTTAGTGTCAGAGATGCAGCTCTTTTTGAAAGTTAGAATGCAGGTGATGTGGATATGGGCATTTTGGAATGACAGCCCTTTTGAGGTTTAAATGGGGTGCTAATGACTAGAGAAGGAAAAAACGGACCGGTGGTAATGTCGATTTCGTGCGGGATTGTGACATTAGGTATGTCGGATAGGGTGATTGAGTGTTCCTAAGTGGTTTGCTTGTTCTGAAGAACGGGAACTCTCTATTAACAAACAAAAATTATTAAACCTCATCATTTATATGGGCCTGTAATGTAAAAGAAAGCACGATAACGTGGCCGAGATGAAACTTAGTTTATTTGTGAGGCATAAGGGACCATGCTCAATGGAGCTTATGTTCCAAGTAGCGCGGAAGTAAATGATATGAATAAGTATATGAAGAAACAGTGAAAAAACAGAAATGACAACATGGCCGAGTGGTCTAAGGCGTGAGACTAGAAATCTCATGGGCTCTGCCCGCGCAGGTTCAAATCCTGCTGTTGTCGATTTTTTTCCCTCTTTCTGTTGTTGTAATGTCGTAGCACATATTGTGTCGTAGTCATGTTGTCGTAGCACATATTGCTCGACCAATCAACGTCATTCATTATTTTATCCTTTTCTGTCTTCTTCCCCAGTGAAAGCACAGCCGGTCGTAATTCCCTCTTTGGACGCATCGCCGAATGCCTTTTCTATCTTGTCTCCATATATTATTATTAGATATCAAAATAGTATAAATATCCAAGTAGTCCCTATACAATAAAGAGCATCCATCTATCTGCAATTCTTATTCTCCCCACTGTTACTCTTACGTCGTTGCTATTGGCCACGGTGTAACCGCCAAAATATAAGCACGACAATTGGTAGCTGATGAACTTCGATTCCCCGATGGACGACCAAGAACCGTACAATAACTACTGCCGCAATTGTGGGGGCTATGGTCACGATGAAGATATCTGCACTTCCGAGATCCCAGATCGTTGTTACAACTGTGGAGGACATGGTCACGATGAATATGCCTGCACTTCCGAAAGAATGTCACGATGTTATAACTGTGGTAATGAATACCATTTTGCCCGGAATTGCATGTTGCCGACACTGCCAAACGCGTACCGATTTCGACCGATAGTAAAGCGACATCAACGAGAAAAACGACAAAGACACAAACATACAACATTACAGCGACATGTTATACAACAAGACAACCAAGACACGAACACGCAATATGAAGAACTATCCGAAAATCTAATCGACATCGACATGGACGATTTTACTGCGACACAGTACGAGGGACAACTCGACGACGACGTACACTACCTTGACAAATTATACACCGACAATGAAACCGACCTACCACTTTATGACTTGCTATGTAACGGACGCATGTGTGAGACCCTTTTGGACAGTGGCGCATCCGCGACATATGTGTCACCCCGTATTGTAGAAGGCTTGCCACGCACACGTGTCACTAGTCGCCAAGTCCAAACCGCCGGCGGGCACATTCTCAGTATCACAGCGAAAGTCACCTTGATGCTTGACATTGATGGCCTTATCCACCAGGTCCCTGCGTATATCCTTGACACCAAATTCGACTTAATCCTCGGCCGTGATTGGATAAAACGCATGAAGCCCGTGCCTGACTGGGAACTTGACCAGTGGCATATTGTCCATAACAGCGTAACGCATGTTTTACGTCCTAAGTACAACCGTGTCATCCCAGATCTTGCCTACCTGATTTCCAACCGCCAACTCGAGCGTTTTGAACGTGACCGTCACATCGCTTCCATGTATCTCTGCCTTGTTCGACCAGAGGACGTTCCTTCTGGAGCATCGGAGGATGATGTTCACGTCAAGCCCTTGCTCACTGAGTATGCTGATGTATTTCGCGACAAGCTCCCAGGACTACCGCCTCAGCGCGATGTTTACCATGTCATTGATACTGGTGATGCTGCACCCATCAGTCGACCGCCCTTCAAGATGAGCCCTCGTGAGTTGGATGAATTGCGCAAACAACTAAAAGAGTTACTCGACCTCCGCCTCATCCGGCCATCCACATCTCCATGGGGTGCCCCTGTACTTTTCGTCCGCAAAAAGAATGGTGATATGCGTATGTGCGTAGACTATCGTGCGATCAATCGGGTGACGCGACGAAATACACATCCGTTGCCGCGTATCGATGAATGCCTGGAACGCCTCGGCGGAGCAAAGTATTTCTCAAGTATCGACCTCAAAAGTGGTTACCACCAAGTAAGGATTCATGAAGATGATGTACCGAAAACCGCATTCAACACTCGATATGGATCATACGAATTCCTTGTACTTCCATTTGGTCTGACAAACGCCCCACCTACGTTCCAACGATTGATGAACTCAGTACTGGGTGAGTATCTCGATAACTTTGCCCTCGTCTATCTCGATGACATCCTCGTATACAGCAAGACCATCGAAGAACACCACATGCACGTCCGTCAGGTTTTAGAGAAACTTCGCTCTGCAAAACTGATAGCCAACCCGAAGAAGTGCGAGTTTTACAAGACCGAGCTGGAATTTGTAGGTTATCAGATAACGTCGCGTGGTATCTTGCCATCCCCGACAAAGGTGAAAGCAATTCAAGATTGGCCGATACCAAAGAATGTCCAGGAGGTGCGACAGTTCGTTGGTCTTGCTTCTTATTATCGACGATTTATCCGGGACTTCGCCGCCATCGCTGCTCCGCTAACAGACCTGACGAAGGGTACTGGCGCGAAACAAAGAGCGATCGAATGGACCCCTATATGTCAAGCCGCATTCGACCAACTCAAAAGCCGTCTCACAGATGCCCCGATCTTATTACCGCCCAATACGGACTTGCCTTTTGTGATCGAAACGGATGCCTCGGACCACGGCGTTGGCGCCGTTCTTCTCCAAGAGGGGGAAGATGGATTAATGCATCCCATAGCATTCGAATCCAAGAAATTATCATCCGCTGAGCGCAACTATCCAGCGCAAGAACGAGAGCTGCTGGGCATATTGCATGCATTACGGTCATGGCGTTGTTTCATTGAAGGCCGCTCATATACGATCTACTCCGACCATCTTCCTCTCAAGTACTTCCGAGAGAAGGGTACACCAACTCCCCGTCTGACCCGATGGATTGCTGAAATCGAATTGTACGACCCTGATATCCGCTACAAGCCTGGTGCCGAAAACAACGTGCCTGACCTGCTATCTCGCCGCGATGGTGTTACCAGTACCCCTGTCAATCACGCAATGGAGCCCGAATATCTCTATGCCGTAAAATCCTTACAAGAAACAGACTGGCCGAAATTCTATACAAAACCAGAAGACAAATGGCCGATCACATACCGCGACTTACTCCAAAAACACCGGGACAAGTTTGTTGTGCGCAACGATTGCGTATATCGTAAGGTCAAGATTGGAAAAGATATTCACGAGGTTCGGTATGTTCTCTTTGCTCGCCGCGCCGATCTAGTGCAAGAAGCCCACAAGTCCTTTGGTCACGCAGGTAATGGTACACTATACGACCTGTTACGAAAACGTTACTGGTGGCCCGATATGCGAACCGATATTGCCGAATGGATCACCATATGCAAGGAATGTCAACTTGCCGCCAATGCAGATAAGCATGTGCATCACGCGCCAATGAAGCCTCTCGAAGTCCCCCCGCCGTTTTCTCGTTGGCATCTCGATTTTATTGGTGAGTTACCGACAACAGCAAATGGAAATCGATGGATCCTTGTTGCTGTCGACTCTGCCACCAACTGGCCCATCGCAAGATCAGTTCAAGATGCTACTGGCGAAGCCATTGCTAAGTTCCTGTACGAGGAGATTGTGCTGCGCTTTGGTTGCCCGGACGAAATTGTTACCGATCGAGGCGCGAATTTTATGTCACAGGTCCTCGCGCACTACACCGGCCGGATCAAGATACGACACGTTTTCACCTCGGCATTCCATCCTCGAACAAATGGCAAGGCTGAAAGAACCAACGGTATTCTGAAGCAAATGATACGCAAGTATGTCAATGGGCAGATCCATCGCTGGGACGATTTTGTAGAGCCTGCATTATTTGCAGCCCGCGTTCGCAAGCACCGGACTACGGGGATGAGCCCATTCTATATGGTTTATGGTCAAGAGCCCAAGCTGCCTGGCGACCATCTTCGACCACACATTATCATTGCCGAGAAAGGCACTAACCTCACTGATGCCGACGCATCTAAGTCTCGAATCGAAGCGCTGCGTGAGCTACGCGCTGCCCGAGCTTCCGCCGAAGAACGTGTTCGTCTCAATGCTGCTCAAGACAAGGCTCGGTGGGATGCTGTGCTGAAGCCTCAAGTCTTCTCTGTGGGTGACCTTGTTCTTATGCGTCACGAAAACAAGTTTGGCCTAGAATACAACTGGAAAGGCCCATTCCGCGTACTCAAGACCAACCATGACACCGACATCTACCAGTTAGCGGATATGAACGGAAAAACTTACAACTCGTGGGTGCACACAGATCGTCTTCGGCCCATTGCTATGCGAAATGGTACCACACCCACCGACCCATGGTATGACCCAACTGCTGCTCGCGCCGCAGAGCGTCGCCACCTTGAAGCCGCAGCCGAAGCCCGCGCACAATTGTCATAGTTGTTCGAGGACGACCAACATTCTGAGGAGGGGATATTGTCGTAGCACATATTGCTCGACCAATCAACGTCATTCATTATTTTATCCTTTTCTGTCTTCTTCCCCAGTGAAAGCACAGCCGGTCGTAATTCCCTCTTTGGACGCATCGCCGAATGCCTTTTCTATCTTGTCTCCATATATTATTATTAGATATCAAAATAGTATAAATATCCAAGTAGTCCCTATACAATAAAGAGCATCCATCTATCTGCAATTCTTATTCTCCCTACTGTTACTCTTACGTCGTTGCTATTGGCCACGGTGTAACCGCCAAAATATAAGCACGACAGTAACACAGATCGCTCGACCAATCATATTTCCCTTTATTTTATCCTTTTCTGTCCTCCTCTCCCAAGCAGCTCTTCTCGTGCAACCAACGCTCTCCAACGGCCTCGCTCTCGATCAACTCACATCCCAAAATGCTTCGACTCGCCAGCCTACCGCCCATCGAGCCCACTCCTCGTCCCCCCTCTCACTCTGCATGTAAGCGTTTCTGGATTGTCCCCATCTCCCACCACCCCCGCATCATCCTCTGGCGTTTCTACCACAGCAAACTCCCATCTCGCGCGCGTCTCCACCGCTTCTCTCCCAAAACCTTCGCCTCTCCAGCATGTGTTCTGTGCGACCAGAAAGGACACCGACGAACACTTCCTCTGGTATTGTCCCATCAAACACCACGTCTGGGATACTATTGTCCACCGTTTTCTTCAACACCCTATGGCGTTAACATACGCTCACATTCACCTACACCCGCCCTCCCAGCTTCAGGTCACCCCCCACCTCCGGGTAGATCTCCGTCAAGTGATTGCCTGTACAGTGCTCGCTATTTGGTAAGCACGCTGGC